CCCCCCCACCCCTAGGAGTGTGACGTAGTTTGTGAACGACCCCTACAGGAAAAATAATATTTGCGTGAATTTTTAATTTTTAAATCACGTTTTGTAACGTCATTTTGATTTTTATAAATCACTTTTAGTGTTATCTGTGAATTGTGATTTTATATTTTATAAGTACAGTGAAAGAAAGTATATGGAAAAGTGTTTTGGTTTATTTTAAAAAATTTAAATCTGTCAAGTGCAGTAAAATAATTTTAACAGGTAGGTCCTTAATAATTTTTTAAAATAACTGTTTAACAAAAAAGAATTGTTTAACAAAAGAAATATATTTTTCACTATAAATTTTTTTTTAATTGATTCGATACTTTTTATGCTGTGCAAATACATTTAAAAGTTGATTTTTTCCCAGTCCGTTCTGCTTTTTTTATTTCATTTTGTAATAATTGTATTTACAAACAAAAAATTATATATTGCAAAAGCAAATAAATTTGTCCGGATTTTCTTATGGAATCGCGTTTTTAAAAGTGATTATTCTATTAGTGTTTTAGTGATTTATAATTTTGTGGAAAAATTCGAAAGGTTATTTTAAAAGTTGATTAGTTAATTAATCAAATTATAATTAAATCTTGGGATTCAATAATGGAGATAATATTCTCTACCTTAGAATTCCAAGGTCACCGTCAGGTAATTATAATTATTATTAATTATAATATTAATATAATATAATCATAGTTTTTCTAAGGATATTAAATTGAGACAAAAAAACGTATCAAAATAGTTGCAAAACAACGTTTTGATATGTTTTTTGTCTCAATTTAATATCCTTGGAATAACTGATATAATTAATATAATTATAATATAATTAATTAATATGATTATAATATTACAAATGTTATTAAATATCATAATAGAAAGAAATTGAAACGGAAAATTAGCGAAAAGAAAAGGCATTCAGTGAAATCAGATAATTAAGTGTGAAATGTAAAAACAGAAAAGCATAAAATGCATTGTCGAGTGCTTGACAACGGGATTCCAAGTTATGTGTTTCGAATGTGAAGACATGCGGCAGGCGCCGATCGTACTTCACCGGATGATCGAGAATCTATTTGCGTTCGCAGAGACTTCTTCTCGGTACGTTTAATTCCTCTTTCACGATGACGACCCAACAACTGAGCTTCATCATGAGTCGATGATGTGATTTCGCGTTAATTCATCTGTCGGGTCGCCTAATGTCCGCTAAAACGTTTCGCACCGAGTGCAACCGTTTCATGCTTGTCTTCACTTTACAAAAAAAAACAAAAAAACAAAAAGAAGAAAAAAAGATAAACAAAAACAAAACAAGACGATCTTTAGGCTTCATCTTATTTATCTCCATTAAATAGACTCCAAGTTGCATTCAATTAACACCGTTTCCATTATCTCTACAATCTTCATACATTTTTATCATTTTTTTTCAAGTCTAATTTTTTATTTTAATAATTAATGTAATATTTATGGAACTTGTAAAAATGAAAACAGTAATAATTTAATATAATAATAATTTATTCACTTATATTTCTCCTACTTATTATTGTTACACTAAAAAAATTATTTTATTTAATTAACCGATTACTTTTCTATTATCAAATAAATATTTACTTGAATTAAATAATTTTTACTTCAATTAACTAAATGCACCCAGAGAAAAAATATATCTGACACAGAACCAACTAGACATTTTATTTGTTGAAAATAAATTTTGTTTGGTTTAAATAAAATTTTATTTGGCTGAAATATGTGTTTTATTTATGACGAATAAAATTTATATTAAATTTTTAACTAAAAATAAATATAAATAAATATTCTGAAAATAAATATACTGACATAAATATACGTTTACTTAACTCAAATAAAATATATATTTGGTTTTAGTAACATTTTTCTCTGGGTGTAAATGGTATCAATTTATTTGTATTTAAATTAATAATTTTATAACAATATCTGTAGTAAAAATATTAATAGTAGGTAACAATAAATTAATAATAATACTTTCTCAATTTGAAGAAGTAAAAAATAACTGATTATTAGTAAGCAAATAACTAAAAATAGTAGTAAAACTTCACTAATTGAATTAGTTTAGTTAGCAAACATTTCATAATTATTTTGAAATAGTCTAAAAATAGATTTAATTAAAAATTAGTTATATTTCAATAATTTAAATTTAGAGAGTAGTACAAAAATAATTGTAATACTAACAGAAAACAAAATAAATAGTAACAATATTAATGGTAAAAATATTAATACACCCAGAAAAAAAATATATTTGAATCAGAACCAACTATACTCTCTACTTTTTTATATTAAAAATAATTATAATGTTATTAGTAGCAAGAAATAAATAATTAAAGTAATAAAATAATTTATTATAATTTGAGTTTGAAAATGAATAATCCAACCACTTGAATCAGAGAATGTGAGTAAAAATAGGTATTTTTTCCATTCACATATTCATTAATCACAAAATCGATTCTATTTTTGATTGACTTTTCAATTAATTCTTTATTTTATAAGGTATAAAAATAATTGTTAATGGACACGCCTTCGCTTAGGCATTTAAATTGCACACGTGTATAACCAACCAATCAATAAATAGGGTTCAGTTATGTTTTTTAATTTATAGTTTGAAAACTAAATGCAAACCCACACAAATGTATATATATATTTTTCTTTATTTATTCGTTGTAGAGAATGATTAATTATGCTTCTAATTTCATGTTTGTCGTTAATTTTGTATCTCTTCGGTTTTTTAATTATCTCCTTGATATATTTAATCTCATTACATATTATCCCTTTGCTCTTAATCCAATGATCTTTCGTTTACGTAATGAAATAATTATTTTTTTATTAATAGATAATAATAGATAATTGTGTGTATAACATCAATGTAGTGTATACTAAGTAACCTTTTGAAATTACGTAATTTATCATTAATAACTAAAACAATCATTAAACGTGAAGTAGAGACGAAATCGATGATGCTTCTAGATCAATTTTTCAAGGCTTTTACTCGAAAAATTTTCATTTTGATTAGATGAAAATCAAAACAGGATTCGAATTTTTTATTTGTTGGCTAGGATTCAATTTTTCATAAATAATAATAATAGTAGTAAAATAATAATAAAATAATGAAAATAGTAAAATTAATTTCCTCTCTAAATTTGAATTAGTAAAAATGTTTACTTATTTTAATTAGTGACTTTTTGCTTTTGAAATAGTAAATTTTATTAATAAATAGTAATTTTTACTAATTTATTAGTAAAATTTACCAATTAAAAAGCAAAAAGTCAGTCACTAATTCAAATTAGTAAACATTTTTACTAATTCAAATTTAGAGAGCTGCACCCAGATAAAAGATATATTTGACTTAGAGCCAAGTAGACTTTTTATTTGTTTCAAATAAATTTTATTTGAATCAATTAAAGTTTTATTTAAACCAAATAAAGTTTTATTTTATTTATGATGTTTCGGTTGTTTGGATTTAGAAATTTTAGTTAAGATGTAATTTTTATTTGAAAAAAAATTAGTTTTATTTATGTCGAAAAAAATTTTTATTAAAAACAAATAAATAATTTCGTAGATTCTGAGACAAATATTAAACTTTTATTCAACTCAAATTATATTTGGTTTAAAATAAATTTTTCTCTAGATGCAATTATAATACAGTGAGTTACGCCCAGGAAAGAACATCCAGAGAAAAATTTTATTTGAACCACAAATATATTTTATTTGAGTTAAATAAACGTATATTTGTCTCAGAACCAACTATAAGTTATTTATTTGTTTTAAATAAAAAATTTTATTCAACATGAACAAAACGTATATTTGAGACAAGTAAAATTTTATTTAAACCAAATAAAATTTATTTGAAACAAATAAAAATTCTAGTTGGTTCTGAGTCAAATATATCTTTTCTCTGTGTGAAGATATATTATATTTTTATTAGAGCGCACTAAATTATTTCCATTAATTGTTAAATAATAATTGGGTATTAATTATTTATTAAAAAGTCGTTATTAAATAATATATACTATTGTTTATTGTAAATCATTATTGTTCAAATAAATTTTATTTGGTTTAAATAAAAAATTTTAAATTCAAAACAAATAAATAATTTATTTTGTTATTTATTTGTTTTAGAATTAATTTTGTAATTTAATTATTTATTTGTTTCAAAGAAATCTTATTTTGTTCAAATAAATTTTATTTTGTTTAAATAAATTTTATTTTGTTTAAATAAATTTTATTTTGTTTAAATAAATTTTATTTTGCCCAAGTAAACATTTTTATTTCGAAAAACAACTTATTTTGTTATTTACTTATTATGGAATTATGATGATGATGTGTGTTCCATTCATATATTTATATATTTAATTTTATTTCTTCCCTCGTTAATACTGTATTTATTTCGTTCTACTTGTAAACAGTGTAACACTTTATTACAAATAAACTATACTATACTATATAGATTTACTTGTTTCAAAGAAATTTTATTTGTTCCAAATATATTTTTTTTGATTCTGGCGGTAAAAATTTTTAATTTAAAAGTAATAAATATTTTTGTACACTCAGAAAAGAATTTTATATTTGAGCCAAATACAATTTATTTGAACAAATTTAAATTTATCTGAACCAAGTAAAATTTATCTGAACCAAGTAACATTTTTCTGAACTAAATAAAGTTTAATAAAACATTTTGATGGGTGAAAAGAGATAATTTTTGTTAAATTTACAACTCAACGAAGAGAAATAATAATAAATAAAATTATAAAATAAGAGACAGTGTAGAAAAATAAATAAATATAAAATTTAAAGACAGGAAAAGAAAGGTTTTTTTAAAAAATATTTATTTATGGAAAAATTTTAATTATTTACATACGTTGATGCATGTTAGCTTGCGCACAATCGTTTTTAACGCTAACGTAACACTTGGTTTATAGTGTCTTTGGGAATTGATTTCCAGTTGCTTGGCAACTGGTTGAGTTCCAGGTTGCTACCACGCTTACTGTAAGCAGCCGGCAGTTAGTTAACCGGTTGCGTGGCGCGTGGTGTGAAAAACCATGGATTTACCTGATATCGAAAATATACCGGGTAAATATTTTCATTCATTTTTTTTGTATAAAAGAAAAATTATTCTATTTCATCTAGTTAAAAATTTTGCTTTTTTTAAATTTTATAATTCAAAAAAGGGCAAAAGAAAAAAATTGTTTTGTGAAATATATGATACCAACTTGTTTCCCCCATCGTTGTATGCAGGAGATACCAGTAGGTGTCTCTTCAGAGGGACGCGGATGTACTTCCGTAAACACAAAAATTGTTACAAAATAATTCTCTGCTGAATGTAAAAAAAAAATTTGGTTTTCTTTTTCTGTAAACGAAAAATATTTTATTTCGTAAATTTATTGAAGTCGAATTGAAATAAATTATTTATGTTTCATTAATAAATATTAATAAATTATTTATATTTATTTATTAAATTATTTACCTTTATTCATTAAATTATTAATAGTTAATTATTTAATAATCGTTTCTATTTACTTTTAATTATTTACATTCATTTAATATTTGGAGTTATATTTAATGATTTACATTAACTTAACGATTATTTGGATGTTTATTTAAAAATTTACATAAAATTAACGATTATTTGGATTTATATTTAATACAGGCTTCACAGTCTGTCCCCTATTTCCCTAAAAGTTTCCTTTTTTTAATTTTGGCCCCTAAACGTACCCTATTTTGAAAATTTCCCCTAAATTTCCCCTATTTTTTTCTTTTATCTTTTAATGATGAATTTACGTCAAATTTAGCTTCGTAAACTATGAAACTGCCACTAATTCTAATACAAAACCTTCAACAATTTCTTCTATTTCTGACAAGAATTAATTTTTTAATATTATTTAATTATTACAAAAGTTTTAATGCAATTGTTTTGATAAATAACAAAATTCTTCACAGAAATTCAATAATATTTTTAAAAATTTTCACAAATATCTTGTCAAGAATTCAATTATCTTTACGAATAGCAAAATTTTTCGACAAAAATTCAATTATTTTCAAAAATTTAAATAAATCTTTGTAAAAGTTCAATTACTTTCAAAAGTTTTTTGCAATTCAATAATTTTCAATATTTATTATTTTCATAAAATTTATCAACAGATTTAATTATAGAAAAAACTTTTTGATACAATTCTACGAAAAGATTCAATTATTTTCATAAATAATAAAATTTCATTTACGAATTCAATTATTTTCATCGCAGAATTTCAAATATTTTTAATACAATTTTAAAAAAATTCCTTTAAAAATGCAATTATTATTAAAAAATTTTATTAAAACTTGAGGAAAGAATTAAATTTTAAGAATTATTCAATTATTCAATAAAACAAGAAAATTCGTTGCAATAATTCAAATATTTTCATAAATAACATTTAATTCGTCGCAGAAAATCAATTATTTTCAAAAAATTTTAAGGAATTTTGCAAAAGAATCCAATAAGCTTGATAAACAACAAAATTGCATAAATTCTTTCCATAAAATCAATTATTCTAAGGAATTTTAATAAAATTCTTTTCCAAAATTCAATTATTTTGATAAATATCAAAATTCATCACAAGAATTTAATTCTTTTTAAAAGTAATTAAATACAAAATTCAATGTTATTTATTTTTGTATTTAAATAATTGATTTCTCGTAGAATTAAATTATTATTTTTCGTACTTTTAACTAAAAATTCTGTAGAATTAATTTTTTTGAAAAAGTTTAATTGAATAATAATTGATGTTATTGATTTAAAGTAGAATTTTAGTTAAAAATTCTAGAAAAAAATTTTTTTAATTGAATTGAAATGATACAAATAATTTTGAAGAAATTACAGTAACAATATTCTTATAAATATATAATAAAATAATGATTTTGTCAGACAGTCATCTTTAATTATTATAAAACATAAAGAAACGGATCACTCCGAGTCGAAGACTCGGAGTAATCCATTTCTTTATGGATTGGATTATATATATTAATAAATTTTACTGATAAATAGTAATTTCTACTGATTTATTAGTAATAATATTTGTTTAAACAAACCTACTTAGTTGAATTAAAATAAATTTGCTGAGAATTGAATGAAACTCGTTCATAAATAGTGAAATTTTGAATGAACGAAATTTTTAATTTAGAAAAATAAAGTAAATCATGTGAAATTATTTAAAATATTTCTATTATTAATTAAAAATTAACACTATAATTTCTACAATTTATTATTATTAATATTACATTATTTTATTGTTATATTGATGAAGTTATAATAATTATTATCATTAATAATAATAAAAAGCGCGAAATAGAAAAATGTTGCTATAGATTTAATAAGCCACAAACTTAAATAAATATTTGGTTTACTCTCTAAATTTGAATTAGAAAAATATTTACTAATTTAAATTAGTGCCTGACTTTTGGCTTTTGAATTAGTAAATTTTACTAATAAATTAGTAGATATTACTATTTAGCAGTAAAATTTATTAATATATTAGTAGAAATTACTATTTGGTGGTAAAATTTACTAATAGTAAAAAATTAGTAAATCTCACAATTTTACTGATAAATTAGTATTAATTACTACTTAGTAGTAAAATTTACTAATATATTAGTAAAAATTACTATTTAGTAGTAAAATTTACTAATATATTAGTAGAAATTACTTTTTAGTAGTAAAATTTATTAATTTTTAATTGTAAAAAAATGAGTGTAATTTACTAATAAATAGTAATTTCTACTAATTTATTAGTAAAATTTACTAATTCAAAAGTAAAAAGTCAGTCACTAATTTAAAATTTTAAATTAGTAAACATTCTTACTAATTCAAATTTAGAGAGTAAATGAAACATTTCTTTGTAAACAAAATTTTTGTTTAAGACAAACAGCATAAAAAACGCGTTGAGAAGTTAAATTAAATCTTAATTAAATTTAGTTTTTATATAAAAAAAAATACTAATTCCATGATTTGGAAATTTAAATTTGAAAAAATTTGTAGATCGCTCTGAATAAGCTTTTATTGATATTAGAAAGGGTGAGAAGGTAATTGTAGAAACATTATAAAGTTTGGTGTTATAAAAAATATAAATATTCATATAGTTTTGAATTATAATTTTCAAGAATAATTTGGTTTCTTTGATGGCTTTAAATATGTGGGGGGTGAATTGACGTGTCATTGCTCTTTTATATTATTATATTAAATAGACATTAAAACTGAAAGAATTTTTTTTTTTCGAGGAAATAAGTTGATTTTGATCACGTGCATATTAAGTACATAATGAAAACACGTACTTTAATTTTTTTTTGCCTGATATACAGCTTGTGTAGATATGAATGCATATACATTTGTGGAGAGGAAAAAAAAACTAGCGGAGGAGTAATGACTTTGCATGTTGCCGAAACAATCAATTCTTTTCATCCCTTTTTTTTCTATAATTATATTTCCCTTCACTTTACTAACATATTTTGTCTATTTTGTTTCTTTTTTCTAGAAAAGAAAAATTTCTACTGTGTGAAAAACATTTTTTCTATTTTCATATACGTAAATATGGTGATGTTCCGGGTATAATTTTTTCATTCAAATCTCTTCTTTTTTTTTTGTTGCGTTGTGAGACAAGATTTTAACGAGGATAATGAAATGTCAACTAGGATAAAAATATTGTAATAATGGTGACAATCGTACGCAATAGTAACAATAATAATAATGATTGTATCCATAATAATAGAACCTAACAATGAAAATATTAATGATAATAATTTTAATAATAAGAATACTAAAATAGCTATTGTTACTATTATTATTGTTAGTATTACTATTTTTACTATTAATATTGTTACTATTTTATTTACTATGAATATTGCTACTATTATTATTTTTACTACAAATATTGTTATTAATATTGTTATTATTTATATTTTTACTACTAATATTGTAACTAGTAATATTACATTCATTTCTGTACTATTCTCTAAATTTGAGTTAGTTGAAATTAACTCACTTTAAGTTAAATTTATTTTTAGGTTATTTCAAAATAATTATAAAATGTTTGGTAACTAATTCCATTAGTGAAATTTGACTATTTTTGTAGTTATTTACTTGCTATTAATATTTTTACTATAAATTTTGTTATGAAATTATTAATTTAAATACAATTTAATTGACTTTATAAATATATTTGATTCAAGTAAATATTTATTTGATAATAGACAAGTAATCGGTTATTTGAATCAAATACATTTTTTTCAGTGTAGCAATAATAATAATAAATCGTGTTACGAACGTGATATAAAATGTTATGAGTTACAAAGAAAATATTTTTTCCAGAAACTGGCGCTGTATTTACAATTGGTCGCAGTAGATTTGCGGATAATATAGCTTCACATTTTTTTATTAGAAAAGATCCTGTGATCTCTGTGACTTGTGGTGATGAACATTCGGCTGTAATTTGTCGTAAGTTAATATTTTTTTCAATTTTATATATTTATATTTGATAAATAAATGCAGAAAATTAAATCACTAGTATAGAAGTGTAAATTAATATTTTATTTAAGCGAAAAGTGTATGATTTTTTTCTTTCCTATTGAGTAAAGTTTGCATGTGTTTAGTTTTCCAGACAGTTTGAGTTTTGTTATCTTAGATTTGATTTCCATACAAACATTGCGTGCAAATCAATATTACAGTTTTCATCTTCAGATATCGCATTATTCAGGGTCGATTGCTTGGAATTTTTGTTAATTTGCATAGGTCAGTAATCAAGACACGTAAATCCCATTTTAGAAGTCTGTTTATATTCCATCATTGGAAATAAATTTCTATTTTTGAACATTTTGCAGTATAGTATTTTTACGAAATTAATAAAAAATACGGTTTCTTTTGAAAAAAGGGTTTTTTTAAATCAGATTTCAACATTTTTAATATCTACTATTTTAATAAAAAATTTCCCAAAAGAATTCAATAATTATTTAAAAAGAAAATTTATAAAATTCTTCACAAACATTCAAGAATTTTCAATAATTTTCATAAATAATCAAATTTTCACAGTAATTCAATTATTTAAGACACAATTTCCATAAAATTTTCCAAAAAAAAAAAAAATTATTTGAAAAGATTTTCACAAAATTTTTAGTAAGAATTTAATTATTTTCGTAAATAATCTAATTTTTATATAGGAATTCAATTATTTAAGACACAATTTCCATAAAATTTTCCAAAAAAACCAATTATTTAAAAAGATTTTTATAACATTTTTAGCAAGAATTCAATTATTTTCAATAATAATAAAATTTCTAGTCAATTACTTTCGAAAAATTTAGCAAAATACTTCGTAAGAATTCAATTCATAAATAATAAAATTCTTATTCGCAGAAATTCAATTACTTTCATTACATTTTTAATAAAATTTTTTGAAAAAATTCAATTATTTTCATCAATAACAAAATGTATGTGTGTATGTATGTATGTATGTCTGTCCGCGATATTTTGTCCGGGATAAACACAAAGAAAAAATATTAAGCTAAACAAAAGTTATAGCTTTTTTCACAAAATTCAAAAAATCAAAAAAATGCAAATTTTTTAATTTTTGGTCAAATTGATGTGACACTTTCTGTAGCTACTTTTAAATATAAATACAACTAATATTCACTATAAAAATGAAATATAAATAATATATTCGAATTTTTAAGCCAAAATCATATTTTTGATTTTCGACAAAATTTTTAATTAATTTTTTTTTTTGAATATTGTTTAGTTTTTTATGAAATTGGTATTGATATCGGTTGCTGTTTTTAAATTTTAAATTACATTCATTACATTTATTTTATTAACAAGTTTAGAGTCATGAATTTGATGTCTATTACAAATTTTTTAAAATCAATGAACGTGAGTTTGCAAACAATTTCTATATTGATATTTTAAGGTTTTAAGTTTGAAAATTTGATAGAATGTATTGTCATATTTAACGTAGAAAATAAAATATATATGTGACGCTCCACGAGAAAAGGGACCTTATTTACTCTTGTCATAAGGTCCCTTTTCTTGTGGAGCGTCACATATGTTCAATATATATAAAGGGTGCAGTAAAAGTATCAATAAAACAGAAATTTGACTTCAGCGGGCACTGGGACATAAAAAGTCCTTAAGACGCCATTAGAACAAATTGGGATTTATGAATCAAAATTTTTGTATTTTTGAATTCTAGAAATGTTTTAGAAATGACTTTGAAAATAAATATCAAATTCCTATTTATAAATTAAAATTTTTCTTCTTGAATTTTAGAAATGTTTGAGGTATGTTGTTGCTTTTCAAAATTCTATCCGGGCATTACGCAAAAACGAGTAAAATGTAAAATCCCATGAGGAAATTTTCAATAGGGATATGGAAAAATTATACCATACGGTTTTACATGGGAATCCATATAAGTAGATAGACAGGGAGCGTTCTGGACCAAGATTCCTGCACCGACATGTTACCGACATTTTTAGCCCAGACTCAAACCACTTAGCCAAGACTCAATCCATTGGGGGGGGGGGGATATTCTGACTGTTATGCTGAGCCGGATATGACGTCATACTTCCTAGAATTTTTGGAGTGGGGGGATATTGAGATCATGATGCAAATGTGATTCTTGGAATTTATCTAATTTCTTGGAATTATAAAACAATCCTAGAATTTTCCATAGGGGTTGATGACTCAGAATTTTGCAATTTTTTATTGGAATTTACCGTTTTTGTTTTTTTACAGGGTGCATTCTTTAACGATGACACATAATTTCTTTGTTTCTCGCAAAATGGGGTTGATGACTCATTATCATTGGTATTTCCTGTTTTTGTTTTTTACAGGGTGCATTCTTTAACGATGACACATAATTTCTTTGTTTCTCGCAAAATGGGGTTGATGACTCATTATCATTGGTATTTCCTGTTTTTGTTTTTTGCAGGGTGCATTCTTTAACGATGACACATAATTTCTTTGTTTCTCACAAAATGGGGTTGATGACTCATTATCATTGGAATTTCCTGTTTTTGTTTTTTACATGGTGCATTCTTTATCGATGACATAATTTCTTTGTTTCTCGCAAAATAGGGGTTGATGACTCATTATCATTGGAATTTCCTGTTTTTGTTTTTTACATGGTGCATTCTTTATCGATGACATAATTTCTTTGTTTCTCGCAAAATAGGGGTTGATGACTCAGAGTTTTGGAATTTTTTATTGATGACTCATTATCATTGGTATTTCCTGTTTTTGTTTTTTACCATAATTCTAAGAAAACCATAATTAACTTGAAATAAAATTAGTCATAATTTGTGTATATAAAGAAGGCAATTTTTCTTAACAAAATCATTCCTGCAGTTTAAGTTGTTCAATCAACATATCAGAAAAACATCGTGAAATTCAAGTGCGCTTAAAAAATCTCGTTTTAAAAAAATCGCTATAGTTAAAAGTTCAATTTTAGTCTGATCGGAGTTAATCATTGTAGTGAAAAAAATTGACAGTTTCAATACAAGTGATAAAAATGAATTTGGATAAATTAAATGCAGCAATTAAAGTTATGGAAACTGATAAAACCTCTAACTATTGTAAAGATTTTGTGAAAATTATGAACAATGCTTTTAAAACATTAAGTAAAAAAACTACAACAGAGGAATTAAATTTTTGGATAAATAATAGTGTAAAAAACATTAGATTACTGAAAAAATTGTTAAGAAATGGATCTGTGTCATGTGGAGAGAAAAAAAAGATTTTGTCAACTATTGGACTATTGAAAGCAAATAGCAGAAAGTTTAAGAAACTAAGAAGAACAGGAACTGGTTTATTTAAAAAGGATGAGAGATGGATCAGGTGGGAAGAATTAGAGAATGCTTTCGAGAATAGAATTAGAACAGGTGTTGTTATTAATTTAAAACATAAAAATATGGACAGTTTTCTCAGTGATGCAAAGAAAATGATTATTTCTCGATTAAAAAATGCATTTAAAAAGGTGGGAAACATGAAAGTTAATGTTGTTCTTGCGGCAAATTATACTGTTTTAGAAGAAGGTGAGGAAATTGATGATATTAAATATTTCAATACTAGAAATTCAAAAATTTTAGAATCAACGAACTTTGATGAATGGTTTGATCATAAAATTCGTGAAAAACTTTTTGTTAAGATTGATGATTTTCAACAAAAAAAGTCAGGTTGGTCTTTAAATGAAATTATAAATTTAAGTGTTAATATAAATAAATATGTGCCTCTTGCGGCTGGATACTCAACTTTTATAAGAATGCCAAAATTTATAATTGATAAAAAAGCTGTTATTAATGTTATAAATAATGACAAATTCTGTTTTTTATGGTCAATAATTGCACAACGTTATCCAGCTAATAGTCACGTTGATCGTACAAGTTCATATCCCCACTTTAAAGATACTGATTTAAAGTTTGATGATTTTGAATTCCCCATTTCTCTCAGCGATATTCCAAAATTTGAAAAATTAAACAATTTAAATATTAATGTGTACGGAATTGATAAAAGCAGTAATAAAAAGAATGAAATTATTCCACTTTATTTAAGTAAAAACAAATCAAATGAACGTACTTATCACTTATTAATGATTGAAAATACAGAACTTGATTTAGACGATGATGATGATAATAATAATTTTCAAAATAACAAAGTTTATCATTTTGCATTAATCAATAATTTATCTCGTTTAGTAAAATCTCAAATAACAAAAGATCATAATCGAACCATACTTTGTGATAGATGTTTATGCCATTTTAAATATGAAAAATCATTTAATAATCATAAAATTGATTGTGATAAAATAAACATGTGTCGAGTAATTTTGCCTAATGAAGAGGATAAAATTTTAAAATTTAAAAATTACAGAAATAAAGAAAGTGTTCCCTTTGTCGTGTATGCTGACACTGAAAGTCTCTTAGAACCTATAGCAAGTACACACACAAACACATCAACATACCAAAAACATATCCCGACAAGTTTTGCTTTCTATGTACATTGCAATTTTAATGAATCTCTTTCAGAATTTAAATCATATCGAGGTCCAGATTGTGTTGATTGGTTCATGGCTGAATTAGAACAATTGGCTGAAAAAGCAAATACTTATTTTACAAATATTATTCCAATGGAAAATTTAACTATTTTACAACAAATTCAATTTGACACAGCAACAATTTGTCATATTTGTGAAAAACCTTTTGAAAATGATGACATTAAACACCGCGATCATTGTCATTTCACGGGAAAATATCGTGGTCCAGCACATCAAGGTTGCAATGTAAATTATAAAGATTCGCATGTTGTTCCCATAATTTTTCACAACTTGTCAGGATATGATGCACATTTCATTATTAAAACTTTAGCAACGTCTTTTGAGGGTGAAATGAAACTGTTACCAATAAACAAAGAAAAGTACATTTCATTTTCAAAATATGTGAAGGGTACCA